AGAGAGAGAGAGAGAGAGAAGTAAAAAGTAATACCTTCGTGGTAAATTGACTGCTGAGATTGTCCTAAACCTCCAAACCTCATACATGAATGCCTGCAAATATGGCATTTGGGTTCTATCGGCAAACTTAGGACTCCTCTCTTTGCCGATCACTTCATCGATCTCTTTGTGTATCTGTTGTTGTATTTGCGGATTAGTGGCCAAAATCAATAGCGACCACTCGAGGGTCTGTAATACAGTAGCAGAACCGGCACCAAATAGTGTTAAGGCATTTCCCAGCAGCATCTCATCTTGATAATTTTAAATTATATAAATTATATTAAACTCATTATTTAAAAATAAATAAGTTTTACAATTAAAAGATGTCTTTTCGTTATTGTCTTGTTTTTGCATTTCATTGATAAAAGCGTCCAAATAATCCCTATTATTGTTTTTATCAATAGTTTTCACATGTGTTTCGTATTCAGATCTGAATGTATTACATATTATTATTTAAAATAGTAAATAAAATTTTAATTTAATAGTCAATTGTGATAATACCTGACAATATCAGTCACTCCGTCGATAACAGTCCTTATTCTGCGTAGAAATGATGGCACAAAAAATTTCGGATATTTAAACAAAATTCGGGTCAAAGTGGGGAAGAAAGCAATTAACCCTGTTAAACTTAGGGTCGGGTCGGGCTTTAAGAACTCATCAATCGTTAACTTTTTGCTGTCCGTATACTCGAAACGTCGGCCAAAGTTAAGGGAATTGATATTATTTGAGACACTAATCGGGAATATAGTTCTGAATTCAATTTCCTGCCCCTCTTTAGTGTCCAACACTTGTGACAAATGATTGATTTCATCGATGATGTGGTCCTCCATTGAAGTCTTGCCGAAACCAAGATTTCTCAACTGATGCAAAGCAAACCTTCGCTGCTCTTTCCAAACGTCACCATTTATTGCTGTAAATCCTGAAAATGTTTTAAAATATTTGTAATTTTATAATTAGTGATTAAATTACAAATACCAGAAGGAAATGCTGTGTTAAACGCGTTATCTTTAGGCCGATATAGAGCCGTGTCGTCAGAAAGTGCTTCTTTTATTGACGGCCAGTCATTGAGAACCACTACTGGACACGAACCCAATTGAATACTTGAATATTAGAATAATCATGGTTATTTTATTTTGTTATATGAATATATTTTTAAAAAACAAACCCAAAAACCGGTCCGTATTTTTTGGCCAATTGTACGAACGTTTTTGAGGGCTCGCCCTTAAGAAAGGGTAGATAACCGACAAATGGCAGTCCCAGAGGACCCGGCGGTAACTTTTTTCGCATTTCATATTCATTATATATTTGTTTTGACACAAAATACACGAATAAAGATATCAACAAAATTAAAGAGTTTGAATAAATCCAATAAATCACTGGTAATAAAAACATATTTAAAATATTTACAAAAAAGTTTATCTTTGTGTAAAATAATTTTATATAAAGTTTTAAAATAAGTTAAAAGATTTTAGATCATAAATATAATTTCTGAAAGTATTTTTTGAAAGTATTTATACCAAAATATAAGTTATAAAATGTACTTTATACATGTACAGTATATTGATTGATAATTGGTAAAATTATTTTTCACAGTACACTCAATGCACTAAATTTTTAATTTTTGCATTTACTAATTAATTGTAACAGATTAATGTAATAGATGTTTACTTTCATAATATTTTGAAATAAGATACGATATAATTGTAAATTTTATTTATATTTAATTTTTATATATTAGTACAGTATGATTAAACTGTCATTGTGAATATTTTACATCTTGATAAAACAATCAACCTTCATGAAAAATACTTGTACTATGTATTAATACAAAAGTACAGTTAATTCATTGTCCATAATTATAATTAATTTTTATTATTAAATATAAATACAGAATATAATCAAATAAGTTATTATCATTATGATCAATATAAGGAGTAATTTGAAAAACTTGGTAAAAAACATTTTTAATTTAATAAACATTTAACTCTCTGAATGGTTGGTCATTGAGGACACGATCCCAACCAAAACGCGTCAAATCAATGGTTTTATATTTGTTGTGAACAATCAATTCGGCGACAGCTCTGCCGACTGCGGCTCCCATTTGTATGCCGTGACCACTAAAACCCGCCGCCCAATACATATTGTCATAATAGGGGTCTTTGCCGATCACCGCGTTTTGATCCATAGTGTTATAGTCGTAAAGTCCGGCCCAACTTGTCTTCAATTTAATTGATTCAAACGCTTTCACTCTATGGGCTAATTGTGGCCAAACTGTGTTCTCGAAGAATGAATAGTCGACATCTAAGTTATCAACACTCGGCTCTTCGGCCTTCAGTTCAATTCATTTGATGGTAATTTAAAAGTATAAAAAGTATGCAAAAAATTATTTGTATGAAACATACCTCTATTGGACATAAACTGGACAAATAGTTGCCTCCCTTTCCTTCGGGTCGGAAGTAGATTGAAGACGTGTCAAAGACCAACGGACACCGGTCCGGGTCGGGCCCATCATTGCATTGAAAGACAAAAACATATCGTTTCCTAAAGTTTTAATGCAAAATTATATTTGAGTTATTGGGTCTCATGTTATGATCAAACGGTTCATACCGGGGCTCAATTGGCAAAGCAACTGATCGGACACCCGATTGATCTGATCCATAGCCCAGAGATTTAGCGACAGCACCGGAAAAAGCGCCGCAACAGACAATACCGGTGCCAAAGGCCAGGGCTTTGACGGTTCCGTCAGATTGTCTAATAATGGCTTCATTACACGTCTGGATGTTATGGCCGTCACTATCTGTTTGGGCCGTATTTTTCAAATTAAATCCGATTNACTCTTTGGTCAACAGTAGGTATCCGTTGAGTTTGAGGTTAATATCGGGCGCACTCTGGCCATCGATTCCGAGATGTTGACCAATATTTTGCAACAATTTTGAGCTGTGAAGCGACAGCAGAATATTCTCGGCGTTTGAAAATTGTTGTCTAATACCGCCCGCCGATAGACATGTCGAGCATTTGCTAAACTATTTGAAAACATGATAAGCTTTGTAGCGATTGTTAGTAAAATTAAGTAATTAAGTTATTTGAGGGCTATTTTATGCAATATTCCTATGTATACAATAGTATACAATACATACCGTTAAGTCCCGTTCAATAACACTACACGTGTACCGATTGTGAAGCGCTTGTGTCAGCCAATAGGCGGTGGATGAGCCCATAATACCGCCGCCAAACACAGCGAAGTCCACATAATTGTCCGCCGATTGCCCTCTCGAGTGATCAAATGATTGACAATTACTGCCAATTGTGTGTATTTTATTAATTTGATTACATCTGACAATTGGATTGGACTTTAAATGTATGTTTGCATTACATTTAAGAATAGTTTTATTATTTAATAAACGTTTAATTTGTTGTAAAATTTTCATAATTATAAACTTATGATTGTATGGATTCTACATAGAGTTAATTTATAATGTTAATTGAAAGTAATGTCCTTCAATGATACATTAAATTATGAGATAATTGTTATAGTTTTACAGGTAAAGTTACAAAATGATTACGATTAATCATATAATTAGGTCTTGATAACTTTTAAAATGTTACTATGAACAACAATACCAATACATAGAATTTTTAATATTAGATAACCTGATTTATTCATGCAAGTATTAACATACCTGTATATACAGTTTTAAACTCGATGTTATTATTATAATTAACATTAAAACTTGTAAATTCTTTATCATTATAAAATAATTTAGTGTTTTTAAATTAAGATAATTGTAAAAAAAATATTTTTCAGTGATATTAGATTATGTTAAATAATTTAATTATTATGCATAAAATTTTATATTATAAATAATATAAATGTGTTATTAAATATATATTATTACAAAAATCTACAGAATATAAAAATTACAAACTTATTCACGAATCAATTCTTCGGATTCTTCTGTGGTTTTAATGACATCTATAGTCGAAAATAAGAGGAAATCATATAAAAACATATGATTTTGAAGGATAACAACAATATATTGAATAAGTGTTAAAATTGTTAGCATTTTAATCGTTATCGTAAAGTAACCTTGGTCAAGTTGTATAAGTGAATTGAACAATCCAGGTAATTTATAAACTCCCTCTAAAAGTATATTAATTGATTATGTGCTAAATATATTTAAACATGACCTAATGTACTTACTTATTAGCAAACTTATTAATACTCTACATGTATTGGCTTATTGATTTGTTAACATAAGCAATAATTGTATTGGATGTTCTTGCTGATTACTTACTAACCTACTATCAACAATTATGTAAAACTAAATTAAGTATGATAATTTCTATCGCATTAAGAGCCACTGCACTTGATATAAGACTAATATCATATTGTAACTTTATGTTAAAATTGATATGGGTGAAACATAAAGTGATAAACACTATTCATAAATACTATTGGAATTCAATATAAAAAGTTGTAAAAATTCAGTTTTTTCTATTGTTTAATAGATTCAGTCATTAAAATAATTGACAGTTTGTTTGGTTTGGTCTGTAAAACATGTTTACCATAAGAGTGGGAGTGAGAGAGGACTGCGCGGCCATTGAGGGTATGATCCGAGAGCTGGCCGTATACGAGAAGATGCCGGACGGACCCAAAATAGACCGCCGAGTGCTCGAGACGGACGGCTTTGACCGGTCGGGCGACCCGTTGTTCCGCACGTTTGTGGCCGAGAGGACAGACAATGAGAGTCGAGAGTTGATTGGGTTTGCGCTGTATTTCTATAAGTACTCGACGTGGGAGGGAAAGGGCCTCTGGATGGAGGACCTGTACGTTAAGCCCGAGCACAGGGGGTCTGGTGTCGGCTACGCTCTGTTGCGAGCGGTGGCCAAACAGACTGCCGACGAGGGATGCGCTCGACTCGAGTGGAATTGTTTGGATTGGAATCACAGCTCTATTGAGTTCTACAAGAAGTTGAAAGCCGTTGACTTGACTGAAGCCGACGGTTGGCATTGTTTCCGTCTCACTGCCCACCAGTGCTCACAACTGGTCAGCCCTTCGCCACAACAATGACCGCAAATTTGTTAGCCGTATGTCTATTAGACATCTGTTATCATTTGATAGGCTTTTTACAATTGTATTTTATATTAAGTTTTTGATTAAGTTTAATGTTTTAATTAAATTATAAAATAAATTGACAATAAATGGTAAATTGTTTAAAATTTAATTAAATGCATTTTATTTATTGATATTATTTATTAGTTAGTGTAATGAATGTACAATTTTAATCACATCTTAATTATCTGATAAAATGTGATTAAAATTGTACATCCAGTACACTAACTAAGTAATTGTCACATAATATGTTACACATGCAGACACTCGAGAGCACAATTCCATTCCAATGGGTTTCCTTTACCATTCTTAACTTAGGTACTTTTTAAAAAATATATTTATTGAAGAAATTATGTATTCATGGAACAAATATTTTGGCCCAACGATCCTATAAACCACATTCTTTATATATGAATTGAGGTTTAAAATATAAATAAATCACCTTGGTTAAGGAATCCCATTGAAATAATTATGCTCACGTATGTATTTAACAACATTAAATATTATTTAATCTGCATATTAGTCTTATCACACAATATAGTTAGTAACTGCATTTGAAAAGTGTATATATTGTAATTGATTGCATAGAGAATCGCATAAGAATTTACGTCGAAATAAATTATTAACAAAAAGCGATGTTCACTATAAGGGAAGGCCGGAAAGAGGACTGTCGGCAATTGGTGGACATGTTTGCCGCGATGGACGCACATCTAAAGTCAACCGCCGATCCCGACACCAAATGGACGGACGATCCGAACGTTTGTGTCCAACAGTTAGAAGAGGACGGCTTCTGTGTCGAAGAATCGCAGCGACGGTTCCGCATATTTGTGGCCCAATCGGTGGCCGATCCGCAGACACTCGTCGGTTACGTATTCTATTTCCCGAAGTACTCGAGGAAAGGGAGGGGTGTGTGGATGGAGAGCATGTATGTGAAGAGGGAGTGCAGGGGAACGGGTGCCGGAGTGGCACTCATGGCCGCAGTGGCCAACAGAGCGCTGACCGACGGCTGTCAGCGCTTTGAGTGGAGCTGTCGTGAGTATAATCACGGATCGATGGCTTTCTACAAGAAGTTGGAACCGATTGATGTCACACATGACGATCAGGACATTGTCTTTAGACTCAACGCACCTAAGATGAGACAATTGGCCGCCAGAGCGGACCTATCATAAGGTGGTGGTTCCCATAATCTCTCTGTGGAGTAGAGGTCTAAATGCATAGACTGAACTCGTGCATCACTGGAGGGTCTGAGATCGAGACTGGTTCAAGCCATGAATCGATTGATTTCCCTACCAAATGCATTATGTGATCACTTCATACACAGATGAGTAGGTGTGTGTGTTTTTTAATCAAGATCTGTTTTTCATCGCACCTGGATAGTGATTCACAGACGGCACACAATAACAATAGTCTAATCTACACATCAAACCTGAGAAGAGTCACCCTCTCATTCAACCACAACTACAGTCCATCTCTAAACAGTCTACAAAATTCCACTCCAAAGTTGCATTTAATATGCTATGAATACTCGATGTATCATAAGATTAGGACCAATCATATGTATATAATCCAATTGTATAAACATAAATGTGTATAAAATGTAACTCTTAATATGTATACAAAAAGTTCTGTATAACATTGTCTTCACAATAAGACTAAATAAAAATTATTATTATTATTATTATAAAGTGGTCATGACTTATATGGGTTACTATTGTCTGAATATTGTCTTCCAGTATATATTAAAAGTTAATTATTTTAATAGTGATTAAATCTAGACATTTATTAAATAGTTAAAATTATCGTTATTTCTATAATACTGTTCGTATGGTTTTTGTAACTGTATTTTAGTAATGCTTTATGTTTTACTTAATTTGTCAAATAAATTGATTATAAATTAGTTATAAATGAAACATTTATTGATAAAAATAAGCAAATGTTTTATTTATTAATCTTCACACGAATTACTAAATCCTGTAATTTCAATGCCACATAAATGTCGCATACAGTGTATTATATAAAGTTTTATCACCTGGTTAGCTGTATATCATGTATCCAGTTGGTATAATTCTATTTATTTTACACACCCTTCTATTCTCTCTCTCTCTCTCTCTCTCTCTCACTCACTCACTCTTCACATACATGCTCTCCATCCACACACCCCTCCCTTT